ACAGTGACGAAAATCCTATTCCAAAACCCCCAGAATCCTACACTTGCGAATCAGAAAACGAATCAGATCATGGCGATCGAGTGATTCGTCAGAAAGAAGATACGCCATCAACGTCAAGAGATCCTGATTTTATACCGAGCACGTCATGCCACCAACCCAACAAAATAACACAGTCAGAATTAAATGATCTTGTAAGAGATTTAGAACTTCCAAAATGTAAGGCAGAGTTACTTGGATCAAGACTGCAGCAGTGGAACTTGTTAGAAGACGATGTTTCGGTATGTGTTTTTCGTAAACGCCACAAAGACTTAGAACCATTTTTCAATATGGAGAATAACTTGGTTTTCTGCAGTAACACTAACGGCTTACTGGCGGCTTTAAATATAAGCTATAACCCAGAAGAATGGAGATTGTTTATAGACAGTTCAACATTGAGTTTAAAGGCAGTGTTATTGCATATTGGAAATATTTTACCATCTCTTCCTGTAGGGTATGCAGTTCACATGAATGAACAAGAATCATATGACGATATGAAGTACCTATTGACATGCATAAAGTACGATGAGCACCAATGGCATATTTGTGGCGATTTGAAAGTTGTTGCAATGTTACTTGGGCTGCAGCTAGGCTACACAAAGTTTTGCTGTTTTTTGTGTGTATGGGACAGTCGGGCAAAGGCACTTCATTATACCAGACAAAACTGGCCTGTTCGTCAATTCCTAGAGCCAGGTCAAAAAAATGTACAGCATATGCCATTAGTAGATTCGAAAAAAAATGTATTACCACCACTGCATATCAAGTTGGGCCTAATGAGAAACTTTGTCAAGGCATTAGATAGAGATGGGTCAGCTTTTCAATACCTGCGTCAGAAATTTCCAAGACTAAGTGAGGCAAAGGTTAAAGAAGGCATTTTTGTTGGGCCACAGATTCGAGATATTCTGAAAGATACACAGTTTGAAAACACTTTAACAGGTATTGAAAAAACTGCTTGGAATGATTTCCGTCTGATGGTCACTAATTTCTTGGGAAATAGAAAAGCTGACAACTATAAAACCCTTGTCAAAAATATGCTGTCATCGTATCAAAAGATGGACTGTAATATGTCACTCACACCTGGACTTTTTTCCTGACAATTGCGGAGCCGTAAGCGATGAGCACAGCGAACGTTTTCATCAGGATATTTCAACAATGGAAAAAAGGTACCAGGGAAAGTGGAATCCTTCCATGCTTGCAGACTACTGTTGGACTCTTGGTAGTGATGCTCCAGAAACGATCCATAAAAGAACAGCAAAAACACAGCGCATATAGTGATTCTTATAAGTTTATGAATCTTGTTACTTTTTTAATACATCCTTAAAAATAAAAAGTTTTTTTTCAAAACCGCAACTAATTTTTTTATTTCATTGTCATTTTTGGATTCAGCGCCCCAAAATTAACAAAGAAGTTCACTTTTCCCACAAGATACAATTAAAAAACTAAAATTTGTTGTCCAGTGTAATCTGTCAAAGAAAACTTATTCGGGAAGCCTAAACCTATACTCTTACTTGGTCGTTTTTGATTGCTTATTATGAACCTATAATCAGAAATACTGTATTTTGAAAATGTTGGAACCATGACTCTGGATCGGGGACAACTAACAGTAACACTGTACTGGAAGACGAGTGTTAGTGTTAGTGTATGAAATTGGTAATAAAAAACAACAACAAAAAAGATTATTTGAAACTTTGGCCGATGAAATTGACTGTCAATACGGGGAACTACTTCCTCACTTTGAAGTACGATGGTTAAGTAGGCGACGAGTGTTGAAACGTTTTAATGATATCATATCTGCCATAGTTCAATTTTCCAAACAACGTGATGAACCGATTCCGGAGCTGGAACATTCAATCTGGCTTAGAGATTTTGGTTTTCTTGTGGATATTATAGAAAAATTAAATGAACTTAATTTGCAACTTCAGGGGGGAGACAAAGATGATTTCTGATGTAAAAGCGTTAGTCAAAAAGCTTGAGCTTTGGGAACAAAACTTAATCGATGGCGATACCAGGCATTTTCCTGTCCTTTCAGAAAATATATCTCAATGCCCATTAGAACCATAAGACAGTAAATATCATGTAGAAATAGATTCTAACTTGAAGGATAACTTCAAAAATTTATTGAAGGATTTCAACGAAATTGCTGTACTGACGCGATTTGTTGTTTCACCCTCCATCGAAATTGATATCCAACAGTTTCCAACTTCTGTTACGCAAAATTTTAGCGAAGTCATCGCTGCGACAGAAATGGAAGTGATTGCGTTTCAAAATGATATACCTAGCTTTAAAATCATCAGTCTCAAATACAAAATGTAGCATATCTGGCCTTCATTAAGTAAAGATAAAAATTGTGAAAGTGAAAGCGTTATTTAGTTCAACCTATTTGTGTATAAGAACTTCGTTAAAAGCAAATACGGTAATCGGCTGACAGATGAACATTTGGATAATTATATTCGACTGGCAGTTGTAAATTATACTCCAATCATTAAAAAAAAATGTCAGTGAGTCTGAGTGTCATGACATGACATGTTTTTGTTGCTTAAAATAATGCGTTGCTTTTTTATTTTTAGTTATCTATATTAAATCGTATGCTGACGAATAATTTTGTTTATCTTTCAAATACCTACGATTGGTAGGAATGGACGTAGTATGTATCAGTTTTTAGTTTATTTAAGTTCATTAGTATGTATTAGTATTAATAAAATAAATGCGTGCATGTCGCATACAACTGTGTATAATTTCATTCAAGTTGGCTTACATTGCTTACAGCTAGGTAGCTCAGTGTTTATTCCAAAATTATCAAATTAGTTTAACACACTGAAAAAGTTGGCGACCACTGGGCTAGGATCTTCAACAAAAGTTCATCTTTCAGATCAAAGATCGTGGTTTTCAAAAATGTCATCATTGAGCCAATAACAATACTGCATTGGGGCTAGTCGTACCTGGCCATCAAAACGAGTAAATTGTTTTAAATGGATAAAGTCACCTGAAGCTCTCACTGGTTAACGTGTTGTCAAAATTTTATTAGATTGTACATCCTTATTTATTTACCTCAAAACGATTTTCAGTAGTGTATCTAGGGGCCGAAAAAATGGTCGTAAAAACACTTATGTGTCTAGTAACAAAACAAAGCTTATAAAAAATTGAATCCAAACTTGCACAAATATACGTGGTAATGCATTTGAAATTTTTGAGAAAAACTACAATTTGCGTTTTTGACCACACTGTATGAGCAAAAATTGAAATTCGAAAAAGTCTCTAGTCGTAAAAAATACATATTTGAAATCACTTAGACCTATAACTAATAGAACATCTGAACAAATAAACAATTTGCCAATAAATGCGCGAAGTTAACAAAGCAACAATTGAAAGATTACCATTGGGTAACATCACCTTTATTTTTTATTACGGCTGAAATTCTTTGGGGCATAGTGTTAACCAAGTTTTGGCAAACATTTGATGCAAAACAATCCCATATTTCTTGAAGCTTTTGTCTCATTTCGGAGATTGTACGAGCAGGATGTTGTCGTAGAACCTTTTTCATCTCGTGTCACAAAGTTTCAATTGGGGACAGATCTGGACTGCTAGAAACCCATTTCAAAAGTGGTACATTATTTTCTTCCATCCATTTTATAGCCTTTTTTGAGGTATGGCACGCTGCACCATCTTGCTGAAACACAAAATCTTTGCCGTATGTCAAACATTCTTCCATCACTCGTAAAAGCGATTCTTCTAAAATTGCCAAATATTTGTTTGTATCCACATTTCCATCAATAAAATGAAGTTTTCCGACTCCTTTTGATGACATACTGCCCCAGACCATAATGGATGCTAAAAATTTCACTTTTCTTTTCAGACAGTCAACATGGAATGCTTAATTTTTTTTGCGAATAACTCTACTGCGACTGTCACCAACACAAACTTCGAATCGGGCCTCATCACTACATTGTATTGCACACCATTGTTGAGGTGTCCATTGTCTATCTGCTTTAGCCCATCTAAGCCGATTTTTCTTTTGCAGTGGAGTTAATAGTGGCTTTTCTTTGGCCTATAAACAAGTTGTGCAACTTTAGGTTTTTACTTCACTTTTTTTAATAAGAAAACATACCTTGCAAGTGCTAAATCCCAGTTTGTGGGCCTCTCTATGAGTTGTGGACCTCGACATTCTCCTTCCAACAGCGTCACTTCACAGAGCACTTAATTTTAAATAATTGGCATGCCTGTTTTTCACGATTATTCTTCTTAACGCTCTTCAGTCGGCATTTGTGATATTACTTTTTTTCACATAGGGTTGCTTAATATTAACTGAACCGGTTACGTTACATCTTCTAACAATATATCTCACACTCTACTGCGATAAGTCTAACAAAGTTGCAATTTCTGAGTTTGATTTCCCAGAATTAAAAAATTTAATTATCAGTAACTGAATTTTCTCACTAATAACCTTTCCTCTACCCATTTTGAAAACCTTAACTACCCAAAACTATTCTAAGCGTATTCTGACAGCTGTGATTAATAAAAACAATTGTCATGGATTTTATTTTTCACAGCCACCTAAGCATTATAGACTTATTTTGCATTGAAATGAAAATAGGTTGATATGCTGTAATTGCAACATGTGTTATTTTTATGCTGCAAATTGGATTAGGGAGTGATACAGTTGGCGTTTTCTACTATATATTATCAAAATATTCATTGCTAAAATTTTAAACCTATAAGACCCTGCTACATTTTTATTATTTGTGTTTGATAAGATAAAAACGAATATTTCAATAGTTGGGCCAACTGAAGTGGGAAGGGGCTCGTATAACATGCCACAAATATATTTTCCAAAAATATAGTTGTTTATGAGTAATATTCCGTCCACACATGGATGGGCCACCCTGTATATTCAAGAGAATTCCATCATATTCTGGGACTAACATGACACACTGATAAAATTTATCTTCATCTTATTTATCTTGCAGCGTCAACATCGGAATTTCATGAGCTTCGAGCTAGAACGTCGAGCTAAGCAACAAGCTCTAGCAGAAAAACCATCCTGCAGCTATCATCCGACCATCAGCTTCGAAACACCAATGGAGTCTATGGAGGCGTCAGTTGAGACCATGGACGTCAGTACTACCGTAGAGGATACAGCTGAGAAACCTCTGGTGAGTTGAAATCTTATACATGGTATTTTTGAAAATGTGCCGTAAAAGACAAAAGTTCAAGCATCATACGTTGCTTAATAGTGTAATGAACACACTTTTTGCATAATAACCCAATTCATGAACAAAGAAATTTATAGTAACACTTATATGAATTTTGAACAAATCTATGTCTGATTGTACCCTCATTCTGCCACTGACTCTGCCTTTTATGTCAACCTCTTCTGAGTATGCAATTTTACAACCAGACTCCATAGCTTCTCTTAGACTGCAAAAGCATAGTCAGTGGAATTCTATCTCAAGTTCCTTCCAGCACTTGGGGCAGATAGAAATTCCTTTTCACTCTTAGAAGGGAAGTCTACAATGGCCTACTAGAGCCATTAGATTGAGCGCTTCTGTAGCTTTGTCTGCTCTTGGCCCATAGCCTAGGTAGATAGCTCCCTCATTATCGGTACTCCACTGTGTCCGAAAACCCAAAGCAAGATCACTTATTTGTAATGGAGGCTGTCAAGGCTAGTTATTTTACTAGGGTAGGACGGATATATTCAGATTTCGTGGATGGTGGAGCGGTAGCACTCTGTTGATGCTCCTCTAGGTATGCCAGCATCAAGACGGCAAATGTCTCTACCTGAAGAACTTTCTGGAACGCTGGAACATGTTTACTTAGAAAAGGATCTGTCTGTAAAACACACGAGATTACGAGGCGGATATATTATCTCCCCATTCATCCATTCTTCCTTCGTAGGAAAGATAACTAACAATCCTGTACCCCTCTACCAGATTCCTAACACCAGTGATCCTTTGCTGCAGCATTGTGGGATCTACCTGACAATATTGTGACAAATAGCGCCATCTGTTGGGCGAGTCTCATACTCGCCAGAGCTTAGTTGCCGATTTCTGCTTTTAACGACCGCACAAGCCGCCTGGCGGCGTCTGTGAGGACCGTGACAGATCTACTCGTAGATCGACACGAAGTGATATCCAACATTCTAGATGTCGCTTTGTGGTCTTTCTCGAAGCGGCAATTGGGGCTATATATAACTCGGCGGCCGGGAGATGGGGCAGAGTACGGAATACGGTAGAGTAGCAGAGCGGAGTGAGGTGTAGTGCAGTCAATGGTGGCATAAGAATTAGTCAGACATAAATAGTGGTGTATATAAATGTTTTATCAAGTTAGATAAATCAGTACATTTCTTTTTGTGGAATACCGTGTTTTAATCCACACCCAAAAGAACCCAGAAAAACGCTACAATATTGTCAGGGCTTGCGATAACCGTTACACTTCTCCCTTAATTCTTTTGGATTTCTCTAAAGCATTTAAAACCAACCATTCACTTTTAAAAGCCAAATGTGAATTTTATGGTTTCTCTGAATCATCAGTTGCTCTAATGCACAGCTTTTTAGGAAATATACTAAGTGACATATAAATCCGAACACCCAGTTTAAATGGTTTTATTTTAATAAAATTTTGTACAAGTACTTAATCAAGCATAATAAGTAAATGATAAAAATTTCAAAATGATTGCACTGCTTTAAAGCCCTTTGACCTTTAATAATGTGTGGATGCACCCTGATGTGCTACGCATTCTCCAACGCGCCTAGGCATGCTTCTGATCAGGTGGTCAATGTCCTCCTGTGGTATCTCATTCCAGGCAACCACCAACTCCTCTCGAAGTGCTTCTAGAGTCTGAGGAGGACGTTGCAAATTGAGCAATCTCCTACCCATCATATCTCACACGTGCTCAATTGGGGATAAGTCGGGAGATCTTGGTGGCCATGGTAACAATGTGACATCATTATGTTGAAAGAAGTCTATTGTGACTCTTGCAACATGTGGTCGGGCATTATCTTGTTGGAAAGTTGGATCTGCCAGGGTGTCAAGATAGGGTAAAAGATGGGGTTCTAGAACTTCGTGGATATAACGCTGCGCGTTCATGTTACCTCTGATGAAGATTAAAGATGACCTGGAACCATAAGCTATAGCACCCCAAACCATAACTCCAACAGTGTGATGAACATGTGTTTCAACAAAAAACTGTGGATTCCTCCTTTCACCACGTCGCCCTCTAACCCTGGCACGACCATCGTGCATGCCTAAACAAAATCGAGACTCGTCACTAAAGACAATGTTCCATTCCTGATCCCAGAGTGACCGTTATCTGCACCACTCAAGGCGATTACGTCGGTGTTCTCGAGTTAAAGAGAGGACCCAGTGTGGCCGGTATGAAAACAAGCCAAAACTTCTCATTCGTCGGTAAACACTTGCCAATAGGTCTTCCGTGTTCTGCAAACCATTCATTTGCAATGGACCTGGTAGTGGAGAAACGGTCCCTTAAGGCCAATAATCTTAGGCGGCGATCTTCACGGTCTGTTGTTCTACGGCGGCATCCAGTACCCCTTGCTCTTTGCGTACAGCCTTCTCGTAGCCATGCCTGACAACTCCTAACCACAGTGTCTACACTTCTTTGCACTCTAACTGCAATTGCCCGAAAAGAAAGTCCAGCTTCCCGAAGTCCCACTATACGGCCCCTATCAAACTCACTAAGTTGACGAAATCATACAGGTCTCCGTACTCTAGGCATCGTAACCGATCGTAAAGGATGTCAAGAACCAAAATCCGCCAACGTTGATTCTTTACTGCGGCTGAAATATTCATTTTTAGAGCGTTAGTTAGCAGTATAAAAACCGGAATGCCCAACTGATAAGGCTAAACATTTTTTCACTTGTTATTTACAGTAGGATAAATACATTCACCAACTTTTATTAAAATAAAACCTTTTAAACTGGGTGTTCGGATTTATATGTCACTTAGTATATATCACTAAGAAATGTCATCGATATGAACACTTCTCCTGGGGCTTTAGTATCATCGGGAGTCCCTCAAGGGTCGGTTCTGGGGCCACTTATTTTTTTTATGTATCTCCGATCTTGATAGAGTTATCAAACACTGCAATATTCAGTTTTTTGCAGATGAATCGCAGTTACAGAATAATTTTCATACTGACAATCTAATAATTGCCGAGGCTCCAATTAATGAACCCATGGATAAGTTTGTGAAAATTTATAATCTTAGATTAAATCACGAAAAATCAAGAGTAATTATATTCTCTTCGAAAAAAAAAATTAGAAATCAAATCAAGAAATATTCTACTATATTATTAAATGATGAAATTATGAAATACAGGGTGTTTCAGTTTATTGTTGCATAACTTTAAGATTCGATAGAACGTTTAAAATTAATGCATAAAGTCGATATAAACATGGGTCGAAAAATGCGTGGCTTCCGAAATACAGGGTGTTTAAATTTACTTTCTAAAATCGTTTTTTTTAAATATTTCGAACAATATTTGATGTATAACAGTGAAAATTGGTATACAAGGGTTTTTTGGTACGACAAAACGAACCATGGGCATAGTTTTACTGTAGCCGCTAGAGGGCGCTCTCTACTGTACCTGTAGTGTATTAAAATTAAAATTTTTCCTTAGTGCCGTTTTTTGCTTTTTGAATAAGAAAACTGATTATTCGCACTTTTCAACATAAAAAAGCTCTCTTGTGAGTTTTAGTTATAGTTAGCCGTTTTTGAGATATTTCGATTTTTAAGGTTCGATGCATTTTTAATTATTTATGGGAAAATAATATTTTTTTACATTTTCGATTTGGGTATTACAAGTAATTAAGATGATCTTTTAGATAGTGTTTTTAAACACAGCAATAATTCCTAACTCCAAATAAACACAAAAAAAAAACAGAATATTAATTTGTTTAATTTTCCAATATTATTTTTAACAAATTAAATTAATTATTTACAACTAAAATGCTATTGGATAGTTAGGACAAACATACAAAATCTAAAGTAGTTGCTGGAAATGTAAACCCAATTGTTCAATACACAATTCACATCTACGAATGATCGAACGTGGTATAGCATTATTCCAATAAGGCCTTATTTCATCGCATGCATTCCTGATTCTGTCTATTAGCATATCTCTTGCGGTTACGGGAGTCTGGTACACTTTTTCTTTTAGAAATCCCCACACAAAGAAATCTAATGGATTTAGGTCCGGGGATCGTGGAGGCCAGGCGACTGGTCCTCCACGGCCGATCCATCTTTCTGTATAATTTTCGTCCAGCCAGTTTCTGACTATTCTCGAATAATGAGCTGGAACCAGGCCAATCTTCTTAAATCTAACATAACATCATCCCACATATTTGCATGTTCTGCCTTTAAAAATTCCAAGAAGGTCGCAGCATTTAACCTTGCAGGCAAAAGGTAGGTCCAAATAGTCGATTACGGTAGATACCAATTCACACGTTCACACTAAATTCATGCTGAAACTCTCTTTCCCGAACTGCATGCGGATTTTCATGCGACCAAATATGTTGATTATGAAAAGTTACCACTCCACGTTTAGTGAAGCATGACTCATCGGTCCATAAAACGTTACTTAAAAACTCCCTATTATTATCAGTTCTATCAAGAATCCACTGACAAAATGTGATTCTTCGTTCTCTTTCCCCTGGCTGTAGTCCTTGCAAAGGTTGCAAATGGTAAGGACGTCTATGGTCATTTCTAAGAACACGGTGAACATGGCTTGCTGAAATTCGAAAGGCACCAGAAACTCTCCTAACACTTGTGGTCGGATCTCAGAATCATACGGGTAAATCTGCGCTGACGAACGTTTATGTTTTGATCCCTTTGGAGATTTCCAAAACCATTTTCAATTATTTGGCGATGCACTCTTACAAATACTGAGCGAGTTGGATGTCGTCTGTTTGGAAATCTTTGTGCGTATTCTCTGGTTGCTTCTGCTGCGTTTCCATTTACAAAGTCATACACAAAATGAATATCCGCTAACTCTTGATTGGAGAATAAAAATGGCATTTTTATAAAACTTACAAAAAAAACAGGTAAAAGAAACTAAATTTCGAGCATTCACAATTGCAAAAAAACGTTTCAGGTTTCAACAGACAACAAACCTAACTGTCAACTAATTGACGTTTAACCTTATTCTGCTTTCAATTTCAAAAATATTTGCAGGCACAGCCTACTTCTAAAAATTATCGAGATACTGACTTATTAACGTTATTTTATCATAAATAATTAAAAATGCATCGAACCTTAAAAATCGAAATATCCTAGAAACGGCTACCTACAACGAAAATTTACGAGAGAGCTTTTTTATGTTGAAAAGTGCGAAGAATCAGTTTTTTTATTCAAAAAGCAAAAAATTGCACTAAGAAAAAAATTTCGGTCAATTTAATACACTACAGGTACAGTAGAGAGCGCCCTCTAGCGGCTACAGTAAAACTATGCCCATGGTTCGTTTTGTCGTACCAAAAAACCCCTGTATACCAATTTTCACTGTTATACATCAAATATTGTTCGAAATATTTAAAAAAAACTATTTTAGAAAGTAAATTTAAACACCCTGTATTTCGGAAGCCACGCATTTTTCGACCCATGTTTATATAGACTTTATGCCTTAATTTTAAAAGTTCTATCGAATCTTAAAGTTATGCAACAATAAAGTGAAACACCCTGTATATGGAACTGTAAAAAATCTTGATCATCTTGATAAATGTATGAATTTTATTACTCAAGTGGACACTGTTACAACAATGTTATTTGGTTGGTTTTTGTGTAGTTACGCCGTCGTAAAATATTTTTACTTCAGAAGATGTTAACAGTTTGGAGTCCTGTGAGCTCCTGACATCTCCGCGGCCTTATTATGTATCCATCGAAGAAAGAGACCAAACCTAAACATATCCACTTATACTCCACGTGATCGCGCTCTACTTATTCGGTGTTATTCTTTGTATAGCACCATGAGAAATATTTTATATTTATTTTTATGCGTCTTGGCAATTTGTAACAATTCTGCCTTGACCGTTGTATCATCATAAACAATCTTTTTATTTTTAAGCCATCCTTGAATTTCTGATTTTTTTGTTGATGTTGTTGGAATTTTCTCTAATTTTCTCGCGTGGAATGAAGCATTATCTAATACTATAACCGAATTATCTTCAAGCTTCGGTAGGGTATTTGAGAACCAATTTTCGAACGAGGTTCCATCCATTTGTTCATGGTAGTCTCCCGGTTCTTTGGATTCAAATGCCCATTAAACATCGGACACAAATCCATCTTCATTACCGATGTGGCAAATTATCCATCGCTTACATTTTCCTAAAAACAATTCATTTTGGACACTTTAAAACCGCTCCCATTGAAAGCATTAAAAACCCAACAAAATGATTGATTTCTTATATCGTTCAAATTTAATACGGTGGTCCGTTTTGGTGAGTGTGTGTTCGACTACAGCAGATTTTTCATTTCGATCCAGACGGCAGTTCGCTTTGTGCTCTTTAATTCTGGTATTCACCGATCGTTTTGTTTCAGGTGACGTATCCGGGAGCGAAGCCGAAGATGTCTCGTAGCTTCGAACAGCCTCCGTTGAGGGACAGACCTCGACCAGAGAGGCTGGCGAACAGCTTGGACGTTAGCTTCAGCTTCGACCGACGAAGCTCGATCCCTGAAGAGGACAAAGACGAGGATAAGGATCGAGCCTCACCTATCTACATCAACATGGAGGAGACGAAGATCACCGCTCCTTTGCTGGAAAGCCTCAAGAGTTCCGATGTATGATGACGGTGGATTTATTTAGGTTCTAGAGTTATGTTGATCGGTTGATATTGTTTCGTAGAAAAATTGAAAAAAGAAAGCAGATACCAAGATTACAGCTCCTCATAAATTGAGGCGTAAGATGATGCTGACTTTCTTTTGGTCTTAGGATTATGATGTTGGATTGATATTATTCGATAAATCAGATGGCTGCCTCTCAACTGGAAGATATCAAAAGCTCAAACGTATAATGACGATGGTGTTCTTTTGGTTTTTAGAGTTATGATGTGGTTTTGGAAAGGAATTGACTCAATTAGATCAGTATAAATAGTATCGAGACCTCATATATAGTACACAGAGATGGTATTTGTTTTTGATCAGAATCAAAATTAGTTTTCACTTAGATCTGGTACAAAATACTTTGCGTTTTTTCAAAGTGATTACATTTCTGATCCTTGAGGAAGATTTTGAGGTTACACAAATGGTTTTTGATTGATTTTTGGTCCTCGGATTACTAGGAAGACATGGCTCAGCAGATGTGACATCATTTGGAGTGAATTTATTTGATTTGATTTAAGACCAATATTGAGGATCAAGATGTATCAGGGAACGTTTGGTTCAGGTACGGTATCCGAAGCTTTAATATGAAATTCAGAAATGAGTTACATACATAATAAAATATATTTTAAATTTATAAATGGTATATAGATATATAAAAAGTAGTTGTAGGTCCCTTTGTCAAGAGGTTTGAAGTTCCATTATAAGAATAGGTATAGTAACAGAAGCTGTGTGCACTGTTTCGGTGATTCTTGTGAAAGTAGTATCAAAATACGTTTCTCTAATATCACGAAAGACAGCGTTCGAGTATCTAATGGTGTGATACAAAAGTGATGTGAATATAGTGTGTCAAAACGTCATATTTAGTAAAGGGTTATCCATTAAGGACTTGACAACGGCAGCAATATTCCCATCACAACCCGTTGTCTCTACGAATTGCTTGTCTACTGGTACGAGAATTACGACCAAAAATTGACGTCAACGCTCTTAACGTTGCAGTCACCGACTTGGAATTTTGGTAGTAAATTTTAATTGTTTGTAAGCGTTGTTCGGTCGTGTACTTCACCACGAATGTACTGAATGTTTTGACATTGACAGTTCGGTAACTGATTTAAAGGTGCGTTCACAGTGAAAGTTCAAAGTTGTCAAGTCCCTATTGGAAAACTTGATATATAGCGATACCGACTCATTGATTTGTTACGATGAATTTTGTTCCACGATTTTGTCGGCGATTTGGAGTGGTGCTTTATTCAAAATATATAAATAGATCATAGATATAAGCGTGTTTTATAGTGGAGAGATATAAAAAATTACAGTTTGACATCTCGCGATAGCAGCAGGTCATATTCAACTAACATAAACAGGCATTTATTACCCAAATACCAATTTCTCCTGCTGGTTGGTGTCGATTTAGTTACCATTGAGTTTTGTAGAAGACATAGACAGTTAACTTGTCTATGATAAATATCAGAAACTATCCGTACTGCTATTATACCATTTATTACCCAAATACCAATTTCTCCTGCTGGTTGGTGTCGATTTAGTTTCCATTGAGTTTTGTAGAAGACATAGACAGTTAACTTGTCTATGATAAATGTCAGAAAGTATCCGTACTGCTATTATACCATATAATGATTTCGGATGTTCCAAAACACAGTATAGTCAAAGAGTAGTTACATCAAGAGAAGACACTTAGTTAGTAAATGAGTCGTCCGCAAGTTTTTGGTTACATCTTGCGTACTGATATGGTACGATAAAACTAGCCAAATGTCAAGTACTGGGTGGGCCATTAATTTGAGCAGATTTTAAAAAACCATAGAAAAGAAATTACAAAGCGTATGGAAGATAATTTATGTTTTTAATAAAGTAGGCACATATGATTTTATTTCTTTTTAACAAATAACATCATTAGATGACTTCAAATTCGTGAGGACTCGCTTGCACATAGCTCGTAGGATTGCGGACATCTCCTCGGAAATATGGTGCTTAAACTAGGCAATCGCCTCCGGTTGATTGGCGTAAATGCGGCTGTCGAGGAAAAATTCAGTGGCGTGAGATCTGGGCTTCGAGGAGGCCACAGAATGTCCTCTCGTCGCGATATCAGTTTTCCGCTTAACATTTCGCTTACAGCTGCTAAAGACTCGCTGGCGGTATAAAATGTCGCGCCATCTTGTTGAAACCACGTCCTGCTACGGTAGGCTTCAAGATTAATCAGTTGTGTAGCATTGCTGTGTACGGATTAGAATATTAAAGTCTGGCATTGCTCGTTTTCGAAGAAATGGGGTCCGATGATTCCTTCAGCCGACATGGCCGCCCAAACTGTAATATAACGCAAATGCAAACGTCATTGGTGTTTTAATTTGGGATTTTCTGCGGCTCAATACCGCTAATTTTGATTGCTGACAAATCGACTCAAATGAAAATGAGATTCATAAGAAAATAGAATATTGAAGAATGAAGTCTTTCACGTCTAATTCTAATGTCATTTAGGTTTTTCGGGCTGTTGCGCCGAGGTCGGGTAGTCATCTTCAGTGGCGCTGTCGGCGAGAGCGATTTTCTCGGCTGGGCAAGTCGACTGATCAAATCCAACCCGACCGCGGTACAACAGTCCGAATAACCTAAATGACAAGGAAGGTATTGTTCAAACTTGAAAGCGCTCTAACATTGCTTCGGCAAATGCAAGGCGTAGATGATGGTCCTGCGGTTTCAATTCCTGCACTAGTTACATTTTAAGGTCTTTCACCAAAATATGCCTTACAGATGTTCTTGATATGGCTAGCTCAGCTGACCTCTTTCCAAATGATAGTTGTAGATCGCGCCTTACGGACGTCGCAACTTTGGTTAAACAGCTTCCTCTGTTCGTATTGACCTTGGACGCCCGCAGGTCTCGAATCGGTAGACTTGAACGATCCGTTCACACTTTGACCAGTACATTGATTTAGATCCTGTAAATTAATCTCAGAGCGAAACAGACGCCGCGCAATAGTGCACAAATCTCCATTTCTGTAATAAGCCTTAACACGGAACGCACGCTGCTCAACGATGAAACGCTCCATGGCGACTAAATTTCCTAGCACTAATCTACTTATCCCCACTATCCGTTTCCCGCTCCCGCGTGTTGGTTACGAGCATTGCAGTCTTGAAATTCGTACGTGTTTCTGGTCCATGTATTTTAAAGCCGAACCGAAAATTTGCAGGGCCTACTGTTTAGCATCAAAATACGCGAGATTTGCCTAGTTCGGCGCTATACCATAACTATCTAAAACTGCAATGACTCATCGATGTTCACGTGAGCATCATTCAACCATCGGTAGTCGGGTTGTCAGTGGCGGGGTGTAACTTTTTAATGTGGGTCACGAACGAAAATTAAGTTCGACATTACTCTTGATCTTGGCTACATCCTTGAGGGTTGGTATCTCACTCATAAACCAGAACGCCATTTTGCTGTTGTCATTCAGTTTAATGGCTTTTCGTCCCTTCAAATGCAACGTTGTATCAGCAATAGCTCCAGTTTTCTTCTGTTCATGTACCACCCTGCGAACACTCCGGGATGGCTGTCATGCTTTCGTAACGCGTAAGTGCATCTCCCTGCGACATATTCTTGTTCAAATAATTGAACACGTTGAGCACGATGTCTGTCGCATCCTTTTTCAGTGCCTTGCGAAGCTTTCTACTTGTTCCAATGCTTCCACTCCCAGTCTCACCCTCCATGATTCAGGAAATATAAGTATAACCCGAACAATAACAACAAAAATAACCACACAAAATTTCGTCTAACAACAAACTATCACGCGGTAACTAGACTCTCAACGTTACAAGTTCCAAGCTCTACTAGTCTACGCCAGTGTATCGGTCCTTGTAGCGTGGATTCATTGAGGCGTCATCTTATCCCGGGACCGGAATCAGTTATCATTCTTCCCTTCAGTTTAATGGTGGTAATATTCATGCGCGTTCCTTACTCGTAGCATTTTTGTTGATTTTGACTGGATTTACTGTTTTATTACAAGTTGACGAGCTCATCAGTGGAAAAACTACAATACGTTGTGATTTTTAAAGCCACAAAAAACACAGAACGCACGCTGCTCAACGATGAAACGCTCCATGGCGACTAAATTTCCGAGCACCAAGCTACTTATCCCCACTAACCGTTTCCCGCTTCCGCGTGCCGGTCACGAGCAATGCGGTCTTGAAATTCGTACGTGTTTCTGGTCCATGTATTTTAAAGCCGAACAGAAAATTTGCAGGGCCTACTGTTGAGCGTCAAAATACGCGTGATTTGCCTAGTTCAGCACTATACCATAACTATCTAAAACTGTAATGACTCACCGATGTCCACGTGAGCATCATTCAACCATCGGTAGTCGGGGGTTGTCAGTGGCGGGGTGTAACTTTTTAATGTGGGTCATCACGAACGAAAATTTAGTTCGTCATTACTCTTGATCTTGGCTATAGCCTTCAGGGTTGGTATCTCATTCCTAAAGCAGAATGAATGTACGGTCTAACGCCATTTTGCTGTTGTCATTCAGTTTAATGGCTTTTCATCCCTTCAAATGCAATGTTGGATCAGCAGTAGCTCCAGTTTTCTTCTGTTCATGTACCACCCTGCGAACACTCTGGGACGGCTGTCATGCTTTCGTAACGCGTAAGTGCATCTACCTGCGACATATTCTTGTTCAAATAATTGAGCATGATATCTGTCGCATCCTTTTTCAGTGCCTTGCGAAGCTTTCTACTTGTTCCAATGCTTCCACTCCCAGTCTCACCCTCCATGATTCAGGAAATATAAGTATAACCCGAACAATAACAACAGAAATAACCATACAATAGTTCTGCTAACAACAAATAATATCACGCGGTAACTAGACTCTCAACGAAACAAGTTCCTAGCTATACTAGTCTATGCCAGTGTATCGGGCCTTGTAGCGTGGAAGCGTTGAGGTGTCATCTTATCCCGGGACCGGAATCAGTTATCATTCTTCCCTTCAGTTTAATTATGGTAGTATTCATGCGCGTTTCTTTACTCGTAGCGTGTTTGTTGATTTTGACTGGTTTTACTGTTTTATTACAAGTTGACGAGCTCATCAGTGGAAAAACTACAATACGTTGTGATTTTTAAAGCCACAAAAAACACAGAACGCACGCTGCTCAACGATGAAACGCTCCATGGCGACTAAATTTCCGAGCACTAAGCTACTTAACCTCACT